TAAATATATAAACTATGTTACATGCGTTATATGCGTCTCTAATTATTTTTCCCTAGCAAATTTCAATTGAACCTAAAGCTGCCACGTCAGTTTAATTGGTATGCTAATTGATTGACAACTAAGCAAGGTTACTTTTTAATTAATACAAACTTGAGGTTACATCTTTTCAAATGTTTCTCAATTAATATATAGGGGATTATAGGACAAGTACTGTTGTCCAAAAAATAAAAAGGACAAGTAGTATAATAATCAAATAAAGGATCTTATTTCACTATCACAATTTGTAATTTTCGTGGGTTTCAAGGGTTGCTGGCCAGAGATGAATGGGCTTGAATAATTTGTCTCATTCGGGCTTAATCAAATACTATTCGGGCTACAACGTTTACTTCGATTTATTTTTCTTTCTTTTTTTGGCATTCCTAGTCCTAATTTTCTAGGCTTATTTCTTCCAATCGAAGTTATAGTTGATAAAATAAATAATAAAGCTCAAGATAATAAAGCCGGTTGTTGACCCACGATATACTGTACTTAAACAGTATATTTTAAGATATATCAAATTTATAATTATAAACAAGAAAAAGGCAGAAATCTAAACAAAGTGATCAGACAATAATTGGAGGTTTGTGGAACCACAGAAATGGAATGTAATTCCTACTGAACGATCAGCGGAGCCATGGGAAGAACATCAAGACTAAAAGTATATTATAGAAAAAGAAAAAGGAAAAGAAGAATATAGTCAGATACTCCGCCAGATTATTTAAGTTTGAAACAATAAAAAAAACTGAATTAGATACTGATTCGAACTAATCCTAAGTTGTCGGGAAGAAAAGCAACTTACATCAACCATTGACATTCAAGTCAACGGTAATAACGTTATTATAAGTATATGCATAAACAAACTCTGTACGGATAAGTCACATACATATTGGTAATATAAACTTGCTTAACTGAAAGTTAAAATCAAAAGGCTAATATTTAGGTCACATGATCACACAAACTTTCAACTTTCTTACAAATATTTACGACTACTATGCATGAATAATTTTATAGGTATATGTACGTAGGAAACATGCATAACAACTTATGAGACAATCTAGATTTATAGTATATGACCTTTAACTCCACTGCGGAAACCCATTATAATAACTAGACGCAGGCGCAAACGCGAAACTTTGATGAGGCTTTGGCGGAAGGTAAACGTCAAAAGGATTGGTTGGAGTAGAAGAGACTGTTGCGGCGGTTGTTGGTGCGTTTGCGTCAGGGACGTTAACGGTTGTAATGTCGTGAATGCTTGACCGCCGTTTGTCTTTACAATCGGTGAGCTGTCGAATGAAATATTTTTGAGCGTGCGAAGCAACTTGCGTCGGCGTTCGAGTTGTGACAAAGTTTCTTGCAATGTTTCTCCAATCTCCTTTTCCATATTTCTTCAAACCCATTAGGAATCGTCTGTAAAAAAAGGCCATGATTATCTATAATTAACTGATAAAGAGTTTCAAGTAAATATTTAAATATTATACTACTAGTTAAACAAGTGATAAATTTTTAAACCTAGTATAAATCGTCGGTGGCTTTATTGAATAAATATTACTTTAATAACTTCATTTAAAGCAAGGAATTATATATAGCTAAAAACTCTCAAGTAATTTATAATAAGAACAATATACATAGAGAAACAAAAATAAGGGTTAGTAGAATCTGAGAAATTCATAACATAAATGGTATTTTCTGATTTTTTTTTTTTAAAAAACTCTTAGTAGAAATATTGAAAAAACATAATATGTGTAAAATATTAGAATTGTCTGAAAGAAGTTAAGCTAGATTAGTAACACAATGTTGTATAATTACCGGTGTTCTTCCTCGGTCCAAGGAACTCCTTTCTTCCGTTCTTTTTCCGGCATAGGAAGCCTGAAACCATCAGTCGCCGCCGGCGAACTTCTCTTTGCTCCCACGACATAATTGTAATTGTAACCGTAACCGGAGTTCTCTAGCCCAAAGAAGTAATCACCTGAGGAGGCGTCGGAGCGGTAGCCCGGATCGGGGCCAAGTCCGGCCTCGATGTCGCTGATGTCATCAAGTAGCTCCTTGTAACGTTTAATGACGTCATCTACGGACTTCCCAGGGATTAAAGCTGCGATGTTGGACCAGCTCTCTAGGTCATCTTTGTTGCCGAGAAAAGCGAGAGCTTTCTCGAACCGTTTGTTTTCTTCCTTGGTCCACATGGCGTCTTTGACTTCTTGAAATGTCCAGTTTGTGTTCTCAGGGAAACCTCCGTTCGTCGAGGACATAGCTATATGTATCTTGAAAGAAAGAGAGAATAAGAGAATCAATGGCTTTTTATTTTCTTATTGACTGTTTGGAGTCTCCAGTGACGGAGAGAAATAATAAGAGAGACTTTTTCTTAGTGGAAATTATTACAAAGAGAAAATATAAAGTGGTTCTCTTTGTTCGCAAACGAAAAAACAAAAGTGGATTTTGCTTTTAATTCTTTCTATAATTCACGTGATGAACAATAGGCATTTAACAAGAAAAGGTATTGAAAAAAGTTCAGATATTTCGATTTAACCAGAGATATTTTTTCCCCTATGTCAAATCATTAATAGTTTTTTTTTTTATTATCTAAGTTGTAATCTGAGCCTGCCAATAGGTATATGACAACTCGGTAAATTATTTGTGTGATTGCTTTTTACTTGTGTACTAAATTCGCTTAGTAGTGGTTATCTTTTTTGATAAAAAAAAATTATGCTACTATGAAGTTTTATATAAAAATTGATGTGGGATTAGACTAAACCAAACGAACGTGTCGATGTATGGAAGAAAATGTGTCATACTTTGTATTTTATGACAAAGAAAGTGTAACCAATCAAATGAAAAAGATCAGAAAACGACTGTTCAATGGTTTGGCCGGTTCTTAATTTGTTGTTTAATCTTACATATGTATTTAAATAGAGAGCCCATTTCTTTGTTGTCAACACGAAATAGCACATTCAATATTTAATCTAATACACACACACTCACGTAACCTAATTAACAACACAAACATAAGCTAAATAAACATACAAAGACAAGTTGAAATATATCGGTAACATATTTAATCTAACGAGTTAATTTAAGTTGTGTAACCGTATTCATAAAATACACGGCATTGTTTAATGTTAACGGAAGTATGTTACACCATGGCATGAAATCTATATAAACTTATAATAGTTGCATGAAAAGTTAACTAACTAAACTGGACCAATAATCTCATTAGGTTCCTAGTTTTTACCATTAACCATTCATGGTCTAACTCTTCGACGTCCCGAATGCAAATATGCGAATCAAACCAGGGTATTCGGACATGCATGTACTATTCAATATAGTATGAATGATCTTCAATACAACACAATATCGTCGTGTAAATTAATGGATTAGGTGGTGAAAATATTTCAAAATAAAACAAATAAAGAAACTCCGAAGATAGCTGTGGCTAGCAAGTAACTAAGGATATTGTTGTGCAGTAGTATTTCATAATTTAGTATTGTTTAGTTTATTCATACATGTAAGGACATTATGAAACATATATGTGTTGGTTGCTTTCACATAGTAAAGTTTATATATTAATGTCTCATCACCTCAAGTGGACGGTACCAAGCTCCACCTCTAGCCAAAATATATATGATTTAATTGATAAAAATATATATAATGTGTTGCTACCAATTATTATAGCTACCAACAGGCCACAGTCATGATGTTTTTCCAACTCATAATGTCTTTTTATTTTTACTTACAAAACTTATCGAAAAATATAGTTAAGAAATGGATGTGAATAATACGAACACACAATAGGCTGATAAGGTGAATCAAAAAATAAATGGATACTTATGTCTATATCACTTTCACTTACATTCACATATTTCCCACATTCAAATTTTTTTGTTATATCCCATTATTTTTTACAGCTGATAACAATAATAACATATTTATAATATTAAAAATTCATCGTAGGGACAAACAAAGGAATCAAGCACAAAACTGAAGTTGTCACATTCATTGAATAATACACAAAATTTGGATCGTAAGATGTGTCATCTGCTGAATTGTAGCAGACACAAGTTTCTGTTTTACAGAGAGCGACTTCTTCTTGGATTCTACATTTAGCAAGATTCTCTTACTATAATTAGTAAAAAAACATTTTCTGTCAAATTTATTACTCTTGCTTCGTTTTATTTAATTTCTTTTCTTCTGATGGGGAGTATTTTGCTTTTCTCGTTCCCGTTTTTTCACTATTGGAAATTGACATTGCACCTACTTATAATCAAATTCAATAAAAAAAAGATTTTTGTGAATAACTTTTATCGAATCATAACTAGACACCTTTAACTTTCGGTGAAAGTTCGAAATATTTAACACAATGTAACAAGGACCCCATGTAAAAACGTAATATTTTTTTCTTATCATCCACTAGTTTAAGATTTTTTTTGTAAAATTAGATCGTCAAATTCTGCAGGTTTATATTAGATATTTTGTAGTATTGTATTGTATTCTGATTTCTGAATAATAATTTCTTGTGTCTGGATCTTCAATATCACTACAAGAAAAAGATTCTTATACCGATAATCAATTTTATCGGAACATTGTCGGAAGACCTCATATCCGAGGGTTTTCCGAGAAATGCCAATCTGTCGGCGTTTGACGGTCGGAAATAGTAAGAGGCCGGTATATTGTCGGAAATTACCGAGAAAACATGTACCTCGGAAAGTTTGTCGATAATGGTTGTCAATACNCACTACAAGAAAAAGATTCTTATACCGATAATCAATTTTATCGGAACATTGTCGGAAGACCTCATATCCGAGGGTTTTCCGAGAAATGCCAATCTGTCGGCGTTTGACGGTCGGAAATAGTAAGAGGCCGGTATATTGTCGGAAATTACCGAGAAAACATGTACCTCGGAAAGTTTGTCGATAATGGTTGTCAATACGTACCGAGGTTCTTCCGACAACTTTTTAAAAAATTATTAAAAAAAAATAAATGCAAAATAACAAAATATATCAATAAATAAAAATTAATATTGAAATCATTAAATATATATTACAAAAATGTAATTAATTAAAAACTATAATAAACTAATTTATTTTGACAGTGAGAAGATCTACGGTCGATCTGGTGGTGGAAGTAACGGCGACGCCGTGGAAGAAACGGTGATGGTGGTGGTCGTGGAATAAACGGCGAGGATGGTGGCCGCTGAAGAAACGGTGGCGACGGCATGGAATAAACGTGACGGTGGTGGTCGTGGAATAACGGCGAGGATGATGGCCCTGCAAGAAACGGAGATGATGGTGGCTGTAAAAGAAATGGCGGCGGCGATTGTCGTGAAGAAACAGCGGCTTTAAAGGACGTGGACGTCCTGAAGGATTGTCGTGTCGGCAAAAATGGTCGTGTAAAAGAGTTGAGTTGTCTTTTCAAATAAAAAGGAACAGATCTGAAAAAAGAAGAACAGATCTAGTTAAAGAGACAGTGAAAAGAAGAGAAAAAAGAAACGAGAGAGAAGATAGAAAAATTAAAGACTAAGTCGAGGAGAAGAGAAGAAAGAAATTAACGGAAAAAATTGATGGAATGAAGTAAAAGAAAGGTAAAAGATAAAGATAAACAATTAAAATGAATGGCTATAAATATTTCTCCGTCTCTTTTAATAAACAGAATAATTGACAAATTAATAAAAATTGATAAAGTTAACAAAAATTGAAATAAAACTAGTTCCGATGAAATAGCGTCTACTTTTACGACGTGTTACCGAGAAAGCAATGCCATTGTCATTTTCGAGAAAGTTCCGAGAGTACATATCGATGAACTTCCGATAAATCTTTTATATCGGTACTTTCCGACTAGTTTCCAACAAATTATGTAGATTCTCGGTAAATTATCAGAAATTCATCGCAAACTTTCCGATAACAAAGATTCTCGGAAACTTTTGTCGGAGGGTACATACTTTTCTTGTAGTGNTGCCATTGTCATTTTCGAGAAAGTTCCGAGAGTACATATCGATGAACTTCCGATAAATCTTTTATATCGGTACTTTCCGACTAGTTTCCAACAAATTATGTAGATTCTCGGTAAATTATCAGAAATTCATCGCAAACTTTCCGATAACAAAGATTCTCGGAAACTTTTGTCGGAGGGTACATACTTTTCTTGTAGTGTATGTATTACTGATAATTTGTCCAAAATTCAGGATAAACTATGATATAATTTCACCTTTATGCGGGTTAAACCAGAAGTTGGTGAGCTGAAAACGGGTAACTTTTTCAAACTTTCATTAAAGCGTAGTACAATCATACAATGACTTTGTTGACAATTTTGCAGACAAATATCTAACTGAAAAATGAATTAATTGATTTATTTTTGAAGTTGTCAACATTTGGGAAGATCACTGGGAGGAGGAAGAATTGATTGGTTGGGTCCATTACCATTCTCCACCAGGAAAGCCATCTTAAGTCCCCATGTTGTGTGCACCTCTAGATGGCAATGCATAAACCAAACCCCTACAACCACATATACACATAGTTTTGGATAAGCTTGAGACCATAATTGGTTTAGTTTGTTTTGGTTTTGGTTTCCTCGGTTTGACTGGTTATTTCTGGTTAGATGATTAAATTACTTATATAGATATAAATATACCTGGATTATCTGCTCGGAATCTGATCGCGGCCCAACCACCGGAAGGTACTCCAACAGTGTTCCTTTCCACCGGATCAACAAGATTAAACTTCTTGGAATCTTTCTTGGAGTTATAGTTCCCGGTTCCAAGACCAACCACAAAGAAATTAAACCCATGAAGATGAATTGGATGGTTCTCAGGGGCCACATTTCCGGTATCTTGTAAAACAACTTGCACCGTTGAATTGTAGGGAAGTTTGTAAAGCTTGGTGGCTTTCATGGTTGCTAGATTCGAAGGTGGTTTCCCGGTAAAATCAAAAACATGGCGCGGTTTAGCTGGAAAATCGGTTGTGTAGATTCCGGTTAAGTTGAAGTAATGCGCTTGAAGCAGAGCCGTCTTAGGCATTTTGAATGTAATGTTGTTAATAGCAGCAACTACACGTGTCAAGTTCCCGGCCTTACAGCTGTGACAACGGTTGATTCCTAGGCCAACGGTGAATAACAGATCATGATCTACGGTGGTTGGAACTTTAGCCGGATACGTGACTGAGTTGAGACTCCGGAGAGAATTAACGAACGAGTTGGCGACGGAGGTGGCGTTCTGAGGTGGTGGCGAAGTGGTTTTGGTAGGTGTGGCGGAGAGTGTGCCGGAGTAATGTACTGTGGCGGTGGCTGTGCGATTGTCCACGGCTACAACGGCTGAGTCTTGGAATGGAGCGGCGGCGATTAGGTATTGGCCGGAGGGACGGGCGGCGGAGACTAAGGCGGTGGTGGTTTGACCGGGAGCGATTAGGATAGTGTCGGTGGTGAAGGGTTTGACGTAGACGGCGTCGACTTCGACAATGGTGAAGCGGTGGCCAGCGATCTTGAAGAAGAGCTCTTCGTTCATTGCTGCGTTTACTAGTCGTAGCATGTACGTTTTCCCGCTTTCCACCGCTAATTTAAAATTACCTAATAATAATAATAATACAAATTTAACAGCATGAATAGATATTATTTATTAGTTTGTAAATAAATTAATCAAAGATGTTTCATCTGATGTAAGAATCCATAAGTTCAAATTGTTGGAAACCAGAATAACTACCTTGCGATGGGCAGTTTGAGACAGGTCCGGGATGACCGTTGATGACATGAGCATCTGAGACATTAGGTGCTAAACCCGATTTTAATGCTTCATTAATAACATTTTCGGTATCGGACTTCCACCACTCACCTTTAATAAGATTTCCAAATTACTAATTAACCAAATAACAAATTTGAAGCATTCCATGAGTATCTCTCTTTAGATTAATACCTAGGACGATGACTTCTTCTCTGTGTGGTTTAGGGAACGGGTAAGGTAGACCCGGTTTTGGCAGAATCACGATGGCACCATGAACAGTAGCTCGGAGCCAGAGAACATGTGCGTGCCACCAGAGTGTTCCACGTTGCCCTGTGACCGTGAAGTTATACACGTAGCTGTGACCCGGTTTAATTGGGCATTGGGTAATGTAGGCCGGTCCATCAGCCCAACCGGTTCTTAATTGTCTTATTCCATGCCTGCCAAAATTATATGATCATTGTATAAAGTCCATTATACTTGAAGTTAGTTTGATAGTTTCATTCACATTATCAGGTTCGGTTCTCACCAGTGGATAGAGACATTATACTTGACGTTATTGACGACGTTAACGAGAATTGTGTCGTCTTCATTAGCATATATTGTGGGTCCTGGAAATTTACCGTTAACTGTAACGATCTGTTTCGTTGAGCAAAGCCGTGTCATTTGCTTCGTAACCACCTGAAAGTTTAAATATTAATAACCCAAAATGTATGAAATATATTAGTCTTTTTGACGAGATCATTCATTATACTGTATGTGGAATCATGCATTATGATAGTAATACAGATGCGGACTTACGTTAAATGTGTACTTGCGGATTGCACCGTGGACACATGCCGGAAACGCCAGCAGTGCGAAGAGCATCAATATCCGAATTGGAAATTCCATTTTTTTTTTTTTGTTATTGATGTTGTGTGTGATTTCTCTACTTCCTCTCTTTCTTTTATATTGTGATTTGAAAATGATTCATGGTCATTGGCTTATAAAGATGCAGATGTTGGGTTCTTGTGCTTTGTCAGTTTGGTAAAGCTCGAAAGCTTAGAGGGAAAGTTTATGTTTCTCTTTGTGGGTTGGAACCTATGCGTAGGTTGGATTATTTTCATGTTTTCTTCTCGAGCAATTTTATTTTGTGCGTGTTTCAATTTGTCATTTCCATTGGTTCCAAAAAATGATTAGTAAGTAATGATTTCTTTAAAAATATAAATTATTACGTTTTTGGAAATTAAGAGAGAATATATTCCATTCGTTTCGTTTTATATGTCGTTAATTTTTTTTCACACATATTAAAAAATTAATTAATTTTCTATTATACCTTTAATTAATACATTATTTTATTTATTTTTATTGATTAATGAGCTGAAACTAGAGATAAAATGGAAAATTAATATTTACGGTGAAAATATAAAACAACATTTATAATAAACAAATTTTATAATTGCGTTTCAACTTTATTGATATAATAGCACCACTTTCTATAATTCCGTTTCAACTTTATTGATATAATAGCACCATCTTATAGACTATTACAACATGAAAACACATCATCGGTGAATTGCGCTTCAACTTTATTGATATAATAGCACCACTTACTATAATTCCTTTACTCATATAAGCCAAGAAATCCCTCAAGATGTTTATGTAAACTACATGTAGACATTTTATAAACTAAAAACAATAGATTTTCCAAGTGATACTGATAACCATCATAACAATCTACAAAAATAGAACATATATAATAAGATATATATAGGATCATATGGCATATTGGCATATATCGACAAACGTGCAGTGTAACAAAGATAATTTACAAAATAAAACGTTTATTAGATCCGGTTTTTATCCTTTTAGTTCTAAAAAAAAAATTAATTTAAACATTTAAGGTAATTAGCCATTCTTTTTTTTTTTTTAGTTTTTGAACTAGAATTAGCCTTTATTTTCCCAAGAAATAGTATGAAAATGGTTGAGAAATAGCTTTCAAGAGATCATATTGGAGGATAACATCTAACAGAAATTATTATATTTGTTGGGAAGCAATAACTGAACTAATTAGTTTGGTCCGGACTTAAAAAAAGTAGTCAACCTGTATTTGAGTGCGACGGGGGTTTTTCTTTCAAATGATATCTTTGGGCTAAACTTTAGTATATGAATTTGCTAGCATAATATGACAAATATTTCGGCTGTTGATTTCATTCAATTGATATAGTAAACCATCGGGGAAACTGAATTTATAAATAGTTTTTCTTTTACAAAGAAAAAGATTGCCTGTATGGACTAAAGTTTGAACCACTTAACACTATTTAAGGCCCAAAATAATGAATAATGAGAGAATAAACTATACTCTTAAATTCTAAACAAAATTTGATTCATCATCTTTTTAAGTCACAGACTGACAAGCAAGGGCAAATGTAGAGGCAGAACGTCTCAAATGATTTCTAAACTCTGCTCAAAATTTTTTTTTATAGTATATTTAGTGATTTAATAAAAAAATTAATAATTATATTTGATGTTTCTTTAAAATTACAAAATTTCAATCAAGCAATATATTTAAAATTTTGAAGTTTTTTATTATAATATATTTTTTATTTTTATATTTTTAAATTTTTAAAAGAATTTCTTTATTTTTTTCTTATATTTTTCTTATTTTTATATATGGGACCTTGTTCGACGGCTCTATTTGCATATGCTATTATACAACCTTGGGTAGAGGTCTATTATAACTGATACATAAACTAAAGAAAATCAATTACTGGATGTACTAAAGAGTTTTTTTCACAATTATCTAACTAATTCACGTAACTTTACATTAGAAAATGGTTAAGTGAAAAAATAGTAGGTGTATGTGAATCCAGTCCTTTCTCTCTAGATCCACCACTCCACTGGTGAAAGCTATTGTTTAACAACTCTTAACAAACTCACTCTGAATTTTTCTGTTATATCCAATGTTTTACAAGTTTGAAATCTAAAAACCTATAGATATTAATTATAATTAGTTAATTGTTTTTATATTAAAATACATACCATTTTAAATTGAAATTTACCTAAAGTTAAGACCCAAATTAAATCTATAAAAAAACTTCTAAATAAGAATAACCCTGATAAGATTTCTACGTGGATCTAAAAAGGTTTTAATTGTTAAGTGTCTATTTAAAATAATTTATAGTTTAATTTAAAAACAATTCATCAATTAAGCATGGCTTAGGGATTTTCAGATTTTGAACCTTAAAACATGGGAAATTAAGTATAAAACTACTATTTCTGAAATATATAAACGAGATCATAGTTAAAAAAGTGATGCTATATAATAGTTCTCATGTCAATATAACATATCGATCCAAAAAATTAAGATTAATTTGTGCTTTAGTGTTCTTTAAAATGTTAATTTTCAAACAAGTGTAACACAACTAATATCAATTTTTATTCTTCCTAAGTAACTTTTCATATAGATTCTGTTAACTATTAAGATTCTATTAAAAATATACAGTATAATTTTTTTTAAATTAATAATCTATAAATTAATACACACTAAAATCTCTATAAAATTTTATAGTTCTAAATTGAGTTTTTGGATCACTTAATATATCGATAAATTAATAATATCTATAAATTAATAAAAAAATATAGTTTTGGTGTAATTCTAACATTATTAATTTAAAGAGGTTTAACCGTATATATAAAAAGATTCAGTTAACTATTCAGTGTGTTATAAATATAACACTCTTTTTTTTTTTTATAAAGATAACACTGCGCAAACACAAAACGCTCAAACACCAACTGTTCCACGACCGCGTAGTCGAAATCCCGGTACAGCGAGCCACCGTAGCTGGTGATTCGTCTCTGACTCTGTCGCTTTTTTTCTAACGAATATGTTTCTTCGTTTTCTTTTTAATTTCTACTGTGAATAAATACGTTCGAAAATTTGCGGTTTGATTTACTTTTTTTTCTTAGTTTTTTTTGTTAGTTAGTTAGTGAATTATCTTAGCTAAGCGCTTTATTCGGCTGCTAAAACAAAAATGTTGAGATCCACAAATTCTGCGAGAGAGATGAGAGAGTTTGCTTTATAATGTTGAGATCCATATTATTTATATGTTTGCTTTCGATCCTCTTCAATTACATTTCGTTCATGATGCGTGTAAATAAGTCGAAAGACATATGGTTGTGTCTGCTTAGCAGGAGATTTAACTTGAGAACTAAGTAATATCTTTTCTTTTGGTAGATTCTCATGTAGATTCCAAATCGCTACATTCTTACGTAGCTGTGTGTTGTTTAGACCCGATTTTTAAACGATATCTTGTTTGCATACACAGAGGTTGAAAATATGGATAGTGAATATTACACAAGATGGAACACTTGATCACATTCACAAGAAACCAGATTACACGAATAAAAGGGGAACCTGGAAAGCTTGTATCGGTAATGCTTTTGTACAAATGATTTGTTGGTGACCAGATCATTCTCGGTTCATTGAGACCAATCAAAACGCATTAAGACCCATCAACTTATTCACACATCTTATTGTGCTCAAACAGAATTGGATACATCAGATTTTCACAACAGCCAGTTGCTGGTTCATAATCATCACACTACAGTTATTTTCCCAAATAAGTTGCTACATCATCATGCAAATGAACACTGATGACAAACCTTTAATCATAAATTTATACCTTTTTTTTTCTTTTGGTTCTTAAGTGCGTATTGGAAAGCAAAATGACACTCAGGAGAATGGAAATGTCGCAATGAGAATTACATATACAATAAACAATTTAGTGGTGAGGAAGAGCCACAAGGGCAGTGTGTTCATCTTCTTCAATGGCCTCTCTGTCTTCATCATCTTTTGAAGAGTTTCGTGAATGCAAGCTCTTCATTCCATCTAACTGCAACATTAACCACAAACAAATGTGCCAAACAGATTTAAACATTTTTTTTTTATTTCTATGGGTTCATCCTATCAATAATGACCATGACAAAACTTAGCTACGGAGAGAGTTAGTTAGTCAAATCTATGGATGGTATTACCATTTTAAGATAGCTAGCCAAGTACTTTCAGTATATACAGGTATGACACAGTATGTTTAAGAGTATGAATAGTGAAGAAAGCTATCGTAAAGCCACTATAAGGAACTACAGAAGCATAGACTCATGTGATAATCAACAATAGATGGTTAGGGATGTACTTTTAAATTCAAGTTAGGACTTGATACCTCTCTCAACGTTTCTTGATGTTTAGCAAAAAGCTCGTTGTATTTTATTTGAAGATCAGATTTCTCAGCTTGAAGCTTCTCATAGTCAGAGACTGAAGGACCTCCTAGCTTTTGCTGAATGAACCTGAAGTGAAACCAAATAAGGATCATATATACTAAAGAATCATAACCAAAAAACCAATCAAGAGTTGAGATTTTCGAAACCAAAGGATTATCGAATATGATGGAAAGATTTTTACAGAAACTCACTGTAAATCTGCATTCATGAACTTGAAAAAAAAAATTAAAAACTGTGATATTCTAGAGGACAGGATTAATTATAGACTCTCTGACCCAATTATGGTACTACTCTCTCAGAACTAATACATACGGGTTAGAAAAGAGAGTAGGTGTCGAGGAACTTACTCTAAAGCAGAGGAAGGTTTGTCATTCTGCTCATACAAAGCAACCAGACCTACATTCGAAACCGCATTGTGTTCCAGAACATAGAAAAGAGTATTATTATGTCAGAAACCAATCAAAGTATTTGATACAGAAACTGTCGCAAGTGATGGAGGGAGTAATATAGAAAAAGAAAGAAATACCTTTGGTGAGAGAATCAAGAACTCCACTAGACTCTAAATACTTCCTGAAAGCTTCTTTCTTGGCTTCTTTCTCCTGATTCATGTAGAAACAAAAAAAAAAGTATATCAAAAACTGAAAGAAAGTAAGAGATCAAATAGTGAAGAAGCAAAAATGAGCTCTCAGTGGAAAAGAGAAATACATAAAAATATTTTTTAAGGATGAGACTACATTCAGATTAGATATCTTTCTTTCGGAGAGGGTGAAAAATAATACCTCTTTGAAACGCATCATCTCCTTGTTCTAAAATATACAACACAAACTTGGACTTTTATATTATGACAAGCATGGAGGGACTTAGATCCTGAAAATATCAGAAACAGAAAAGATGTTTATCTATTGAAGATTATATCATCAAAAATCAACGGCATTGTTGAAACATAAATATAAACTTGAGTTCCTCAACTTATATATATATATATTTTGTGGCAAATTAAAACTTTAACTACCAAAGAGACTGAGAAGACAGATCTTTTGCCTCCTTCATCACAAACATACCACATCTCATCAGTTAACTAAAAACTCTTAAAATTCCCACCAAGTGAGTAACATCAGAGAGTATATAATTTACGAATAAAGAAACAAATAGTTTACAGAGACAGACAGACAAATAAGTCAGTACATGTCCAGATCCAGTAATTTCAAGTGAGGAGAGCAGCACAAAGCTCTTATACCAGATTAGATCCAGAGATCGATGATCATCGGAGATGGAGTGAAAAAAACAATAGTGAGGCCAAAATAGAAAAGAGGCATTATAGCAAATGATTAATAGACCCAAGTTTGAAAACTTATAAGTTGGGCTTGATATGTCATGCCAATCTTTGCTTTTGCATCATCAAAATAGACTCAGTGGTGTTAAACTCAAACCCACCACCAAGACCAATGTTGATGCTGCTTTCTTTCTTTCTTTCTTTCTTTTTTGTATGTATTTGAAAAGCAGCAGCGTTTGTTTGTTTATTAAGAGAAAGACTTCACCTGATTCTCCTCCTCAGTAACTAACTATGCATACGCATCCCTGAACTTGCTTCTTCGCATCTACAGTCTTGACGGCGGCGGAGTGAGCATTACCCCAACAAAGTTGCGAGTGTCTGTGTGTTTTAGGTCTGTGATATAAAAAAATCTCGAAAACGAACCAATTTTTAATTTGGTCGGGTTTGATACGGTTCAACTAGATGATCAGTCCGGTTAAGATAATTAAACCTCAACATTTCCTTGTCTCCATGTCAATTTGACTCGCATTTTATTACAACAGTCTGGGTTTGGTTTTCCGATCCATTTATCCGTTCAAACATGGGGTTTAATCTAAAGCTGTAGCCAAAAAAAAAGCACTTGAAACTGTGATAAAGTTGGAGCTAAAAGTCTAGTACAACAATTACGGTTCTCTCTCAAAACTTTGACCCTTGTTAACCGGTGGTGCCATTCCGGGATTCCATGACGGAGTAGGAGGAGGATAAGATCCTTGTTGGTAATTCTGATTCATCATCTCAAAAGGTGCACCTCCGCTATTATACAATTGCTGAGATGATCCATCGCTTGTTGTTGTTGCTGCTGCTGGATAAGCCGGGAAACCAAACTGCTGGGGTAGATTCATTGGCGGAATGCTGCTGGGCGGTTGCATCATATTCATAGGTCTGGAGGAGGGTAACTCTGAACTTGAGCAAATCCAGATTCAGATTGTTGTGGCTTTGACAAGGATGCAGACCTGTGTAGTAACGACGGCTGCTGTTGCTGTTGGGATCTCAAGGGAGCTCGCAGTGTGGACTCTGTAGCTGAAGATTGCTGCTGCTTTGTGCTCTGGACGTCTGAGTCGTTGTTACCTTTTTGTTTATCAGCATCGGGTTGTAATAGGGTGGCGTGGAGGTCATGGACATGGGATTCAAAGTCAGGTTTCTTGAGGAAAAGACATGAGACAATGAGGAGCAGCACAGATGAAGATTCCTTCCATCATTTTGATCGTCTGGATCTTTTGAATCCGTTCATCACATCTGTCCAATAACACACGAGAAAAAGAAGATTTCAACATGATATATTACTCCTAAGAAATGTCAACAAAGATCTCAGGGGGGGGGGGGATAAACAAACAAGCTTAAAGTAGAGTATACCAACCAATACATGTCTGAAACAAGGACTCTAGGCAACATTTTTTAGACTAAAGCACATATATATTCTACAGAATTAGTTAGTAGTGTATCTTTAGATAAAGCAACTTGGGTTCATAAACTGGATTGCAAAAGTAGGCAAATACAAGTAAAGAGTAGTTACAGATAGCAGATGGAGTCACTACGAGCACATTCGAGGCAAAAGGCATGATCACATGGACTCTGTTACACAACCAAAACAAACAGAAACAAACCAACCAACCAACATGAAAGAAACCAAAGCCTTTTTTTAATTAAAGTACTATTCAAAAAAAAAGTAGGGGGTTAGCACTTACCAGACGGCCATAGATAGCAATGGGGAAATCGCAACGGACGCAGAAATGAACTCTCTCTCCTACCTGCCTTCGTGAACGTCGTCCCACCGGCTGCTTTATTACGCTTGTCGGAGTCACTGAACCTATCCCTTTCGCCACGGGGAGATCTGCGAGTACGAGGTGGTCGGGACAGGCTACCGTCACTGTCTCCGTCGGAGAAGGTCGCGCTCCGCTGCCAGTCTCTGTGGGAGAATCCCTCCTAAGTCGAATCTGAAGCATTGTCACAAGGATCGAGCCCCAGAGGAGTTAACCACTTTTATTTTCTTTTAAATATTTGGCGACGTACGGTAGGTAAGGGATTTACAGTTTCCTCGTTTTTTCTTAAATTTTTCTAACTTGTAAATAATTGGAGTAGTTTTCAAGTAAAGAAAAGATCCTCTGAACGAGAGGGAGGGTTCAGGATCAACTCTTTCCAAGTCCAAACAACTTAACCACTAGTATTTAGGCCTACTAGTATTATTCAGTTTTGACTTCACTGTCACTCATAAATTCACAATAAAGAGCATACAGTTACACCATGAAATTATAGTATCTTCCGTCTTTTTGTTCAAACCCCTATCATGAGCTGCCTATATTAGTTTCTTTCGTTTTTTTGGCTTATCATTAACCCAACCTTACTCTATTTATTCGTTCATTACTCTACATTTCTTACTTGTTTCGATTATCACAATTATGAACTATCTGAGGAAAAGAATAAACATTGGAAATTGGGAGGATGGAGATAACTGTTAGTCTTGGTGGTTTTTTCGAAGAGGCTACTCACTGCTGGCGCTGGGAGTGTATTGCGGAAGTTCTTGTTGTGGATGTCGGGATGTTGTTGTTTTCCTAAGAAGGGGTGTATTAATTTGTTATTTGTAGTACTTCGGTTTATGTTAATGAAATTCAAAGATGACAAAAAGAAAAGAATAAACATTAGACATAGTCAATAGAACAATGATTCCGAAAGCCTCAGTTCAACAGAAAATAAAAAAATGATTCGAACTCGGACGTAAATAAGTACAATACAAAACTGTATCTAATAAGTGCACTGTACATTATTCTAACATCATCATTTGAAAAACATTCTACTAAGATTTAAGTAATCGTAACTTATTAATGCATTTGGTTTTTGTGAAGTAGTTTTTTTAAATACTATACGGCTTGGGTATCATTTAATCGAAACATCTAAAGAAAAGGACGTAGGAAGAGGACAAATAAATTTGGGAAACCGAGGAACGTTCGAATTTATCATAAAGGCCTTCTCACTCTGAACACTCAGATAAAAGGCCATCATTGTTATTGTTATATGTTTTCACATGTAATTTACCATACTGTCTCGTAATTTATACTCTAAAAGTGCTTTTTACCATATCTTTTGCATCTCTGTAACGTTTTTATTGTTTGGTTGTAAAAAAGATTTCGTTTCAAGGGTATATTCTTACATTCACCATTGATTTTTCTGCCTCTTTAAGATAAACGAATTATGAATGTCAATACTATTAGTAAAAAAATTACTAGTATAGAAACATATGATTTCTTGATTTTTAAAACCCTAACTATTAAAATACTTGCTACACGTATATCTAACGTGTAGTTATTTCATTTTTCTACTATGTTCTTAGAGAGAAGGTAGATGTCTGATGAACAATGTGACGGATTAACTAGTCGTTGGATAAAGTAACAAATTTATTAATTTTTGAATCTATTTAAGTATCCTTTTTATGATTTTAACATAAAGAATTAAGAAAAATTGACTGACTAATAAGCACAGTGGCTACTTTAATGTATAGTGTTATTAATGGAATTGGTCAGTCTCTACATAAAATAGTTCAGCAGGTATAGGTTAAAATTAAATTAGGGTAAATTATAGAAAAAGAAAGTTGACAAAAGGTATTCAATATGACGCATTACTTAATTTGGAATGACTGTGAATACAATGCAGTGTTGCTATATTTACAAAGTACACAGATAAACAAGAATGATGTCAAAAGGGTGTGAAAATTGTTTATTAGTTGAAAAAACCAAAAATTACAAAATAGATTTTATCAAATTAACTACGCTATTTTTTTTTAAGACGTGCAAACAATTAAATCATGCATATATCTCTTTCAATAACAAGATGACATAAATGGGATGTTTAATTGCTTCTAATTATACATGTTTATTAGTTACTAGTTAGGCAAATACAATTACTAGTAATCAAATACAATTTCAACAAAACAAAATAAATGATATTTAAAAAAACTTAAGAAATCAGTAATCGTCAACTAAGTCAATCGTTAGGCATTATCAACAATGAAGAGAAACCAAATAACTCAAAGTATAAATTCTAAATATTTATAAAATCTCTAGATTTGTATATATCCCAAGTTATAAAATAAAAAGTTTAAAATATATAACTGGGAAAAAATGTTCAGATATAAGATTATGACTACTGAAAAATTCTGTATATTTTGATGTCACCAAAGATTAAATAACGAACAGTTTACATGTGAAATAAAGGAAACTGTATTAAGAAGGTAGAACAAACAAACTTTTAATTTTAATTTTCCTAAAGAAAGCACATATATATAGCTGTATCCGTGTTATACATAAACGTATAATCGAGAAAGAAAAAAGAATGAGAGAGAGATTGTTTGTCTGCTCCGCCTGAGGTCGCGGGAAGAAGAAGAAGAAATACATTTTAACGGAGATTAATCATTGAGACTCCAAAGCCTTTTTTTTCTCTTCCGGTCAACTTTAAAAAAAAAGAGTAAAATAAAAATCTTCTCTCCGGAAAAGGTTTTATAAAAATCCTCTGTTTTTTTTTCTACCGGTTACATGTCAGTCCCGTCGAGCAGCCAGTTACCGGTGGCGCCAACAACAACAAAAACGACAAGACGTCGCGTGGCTAATCTTCACGAAGATCATTGCCACAACGAGCTGCAGCAGCGGTGACGGAGTAGTAGTAGGAGGAGGAGGAGGAGGAGGATTATCACCACACCACAACAATTACCTCGTTAGGTTTCTGTCTCTCCGCAAGATCAGGCTCGTGTGGATGCTCATGGTTGACAACAAATCCCAATGGACGGCTGCGATGTCTCGGAACGTGAGATCCGCCACCAATCTAGGTCGTATGATTCTATCTTTATTAGGAATCCTTGTGTTCCACTTTCTTCCTCGTCGTTGCTCTCTCCGGAAGACGGAGTCACGTGGAGAAACACGAGTTCGTCGTTTCTATCCATCCCAGAAGTAACATAGAGAAGATCATCAAAGAAGATGATTCTTCTTCTTCCAGTTCCGTTCAAGTCCTCGTCCCTGAGAGAAAACATGTAAGCTCAAGAAAAATATCAAAAGTTCCCCATAAAGACTTGGGACCAGAACATGTTATGGGTTCTGTCGTTACATTCGGTGAACTAATATTTGCTTTGGTAACATGTTTTGTCTTTTTTTTTTTTTTTTAAAATAACAGATAGCAGAGATTTGGAATCAACCAGACACTGGGAACTATCACAAATGCGTCGCTCGTCCTAAGAACAAGAGTAAGTTTTCTTCTACTTCTTCTTTTTTGCGTCTATTAGTTTGACCTACTTAAGACACCTAATGATGAGTTCTTGTTTTTTGTTGGGGTTTAGAACCAATCAAGAAAACCAATGGGTACCTTGTTGTTCACGCCAACGGTGGTTTGAATCAAATGAGAACTGGTGTAAGTCTCTTCAAAGTCTTTCTACCTTTAGAATTTTCCCCAGTTCCTCACTTTATTTGTCTCTTGACACAGATATGTGATATGGTGGCAATAGCCAAAATGATGAACGCTGCTCTTGTTCTTCCCTTTCTTGACCATTCATCTTTCTGGAGTGATCCAAGGTAAACCCTTCATCATCATCATTAATGATTCAGCATTACAATGATCTAACTAAGCTCTCTGTTTTCAGCACGTTTAAGGATATTTTCGACTGGCTACATTTCATCAAAGTAGTAGCAGAAGATGTAGATATTGTCGAGTATCTACCGCAACAACTTAATTCCATCAAGCCTCTTGAAAAGGATCCTGTCTCCTGGTCCAAGGTACATTTTCCTTCCTTTTCTAAAAACTCTGTTTATTTTTTTGTATTCAAAATATTTTTAAAACTAAAGACTCTGTTTTCTCAGGCTAGTTATTACAGAAACTCAATGTCAAAGTTACTGAAGAAGCACAAGGTCATCGTATTCAACCGCACTGATTCTCGGCTAGCTAATAACAGCCCACCTCCCTCAATCCAGCGGCTTCGATGTCGAGCCAACTACGAAGCTCTTCGTTATAGAGAACCTAAGCAAAGTCCTCTCTTCAAGACTTAGAGAAAATGATGAACCCTATCTCGCTCTTCATTTGCGGTACAAGCTACACACTATCTCTCTAATGAACATAGCTGAGAATCATACCATTAATCAAAAATGTTCTTCTTTTAGGTATGAGAAAGATATGTTGGCGTTTACTGGATGCAACCACAGTCTAACCTCTGAGGAATCGATTGATCTTGAGAAGATGAGATACAGTATTCCGCACTGGAAAGATAAAGTGATCAACGGTACAGAACAGCGTCTTGAAGGTAATTGCCCTATGACGCCACGGGAAGCTGCCGTGTTTCTCAAGGCAATGGGGTTTCCTTCGACCGCAAAGATCTACATTGTAGCAGGAGAGATCTACGGCGAGAACAGTATGAATGCATTCCACCAAGAGTTCCCTAACGTTTTCTTTCACTCCACATTGGCTACGGAGGAAGAGCTTTCCACTATAAAACTTTACCAGAACAGATTAGCTGCTCTTGATTACAATTTAGCACTCGAGAGCGATGTTTTCGCTTACACTTACGATGGAAACATGGCCAAAGCGGTTCAGGGTCACCGTAGATTTGAAGGGTTTAGAAAAACGATTAGTCCTGATAGGTACTTACAGCTTCTTGCGTCATGTTGATTCTTCTTTTCTTGCGCTTGAGACTGACATTTTAGCGTGGTTGTTAATTTCAGACTAAGCTTTGTGAAGTTGATCGATCGGCTCGATGCGGGACTCATTTCTTGGGAAGATTTCTCGAATGAGGTTAAGAGAATACATGGGAAAAGATTAGGAGCTCCGTATCTTAGACGGCCAGGGTTGAGTCCTAAGTTGGAGGAGAACTTTTATGCTAACCCTCTTCCTGGTTGCTTGTGTGACACTCCTGATAAACCAACCGGTCTGAACCGATTTAAAAGACCAAGTTTACGAGCACAATCTTTGAGATAACCGGTGGTGGAGGGGGTTCAACTTGGTATTTTTCAAAATACACGAGGAAATCCATAAAGTTCTTGTTTTTTTAATGTAATTAGGTTTAAAAAAAAAAGAAGTTAATTCTAATTATAGTAGGAAGTTGGAGAAATATAGATAAATTGTGGCCTCAATCTCTCAAATATGAAATTAAGAAATATGAATCATAGCTTAAAGCACCATTAACAACATTACTTTTAAGGTTCGCTGAATATCAAATTTGAAGTTTCAAAGTGTTTTTTTTTTAAATGATGAAATCTTCAATCTAATTTTATAAGGATTTAAATTTACATTAAATTTTTAATATTGATTTAACCTTAAAATTAGTTACATATAATTTTGGGCTTACCCAATTTTTTATTGGACTAATAATAATTGGATAACCCATTAAATTTATAGATAATACAATTAAACACATGTTTAAATTAAATGAATATGATTTAGTGTTGTAATAGTATATCTTCATAAATTAATTATTTAAAATATATTTGTCAATGTTAACTTTTAAAATTATATAGTTTATTTTTTTAAAATAACAAAATTCATCATTTTCTAACAATGATTAAGTTAACCAATATTTTTTTTAAAGTTATATAGTTTATTTTTAAAATAACAAAAATTAAATGTTTAGTTATTTACTTTATAATATGAAGCTAAAAAATTTATTTTAGTTAAACTTTCTAAATTTTAGAAATGTTACAATATCTTTGAAGATAAGAATAAGACAATATTTTACCAATCTTTACATATATTTACGACTTTAATAATGAAATAATAATTCAAAACAATATATATAGAAGAAGATACAAATACATGTAAAGGTTTGAAACAATCTATTCGATGAAAAACTAATATATGATAAAATTATTATCTTTTAAAAATTGATATAAAAATCTCATATATATATATATATATATATATATCAATTTAGAAGTGAAAACAAATTGTTTAAAAAAATTGAAAACAAAATGTTTCAATAAAAATAAATGAAAACAAACACCCGTGCGATTGCGCGGGTCGAGATCTAGTTAACTGGATTAATAATGTTCTTGTTTAGCCAGAAAAATATTGAAGTTCTTGTGTTTAGAAGTTTTCTCCAAGTCATTTCTTCTTCCAAGCAGCCCTCTTTTCACTGGAATGTACATTCAGCACTCAAACTGTGTAATTTTTAACAATGTGATTTTGAAGCAATCTGTTGAAATCATTAAATCCCTAAATTGAGGAAGGGGACCACTGGAGACAATACACATTCCATTGTCACTCACCTCTCACTTTCTTCTCAGTCAAGACAAAGAAATGACACAGAGTAAGGTGTCTGAAAGGGGCAACTGATTATAAATGCATTTTGTTGAACTCACGAGAAACCAAATGCCTTTCTTTTTTTGGACAAACCCTTCCTTCAATACACTCACGTCTTCTCTTGTCCTCACTTGACAAAAATTAAAAAAAGACAACTGTATCGAATTGATCAAGATTTCAAGATCTTAACTAATACATATTGTAACGTTCTTCTACATGTGAAAGAAAGCTCATCTCACCACACTTGCAACTAACAAAACAAAACAAAAGAGAAGAAGAGGAAGGACACAAGAATGTACATTACAAGCACAAAATAACAAACACAACAATCTAAGAAAATACCAAACTACTTCTTGGCTTCTTCATCAACAACGGTATCGGATTTTTCATCAGCACATTCCTCAGGAACCACTGCCATTGACCGCCTATTACCCCATATAGTCCAAAGATATAACGCAAACATGGCACTTAAAATTCCACAAACCGCACCCAAAACCAATGCACTAAGCATTCTCCAAACACATTGGCTTTTCCCCTTTACTTCCACTGTCTTCTTCTTCTCCTCCTCCTTAACAGTCTTGGAAACTGCGTTTGGATCAAGCGGCTGCGAGTGAATCCTCATGGAGGGATGTCTGAGCTTAAAGCTCCATGAATGGAGATAATGTGGCTTGGAAGAGTTCCCATTAGCAGAGATCAAACCCACCATGAACTTCTTTTCTTTCCATATCTTAGCCAAATCCACCGAGTAAGAGATGAACGGATCTACAGGCTTCAAGGCATTATTAGATAGACTCAGACGAACCTCTATCCTCTTTGAACTCGCCTCGTAATCAATCCAACAACTCAACTTCTTCCCATTGAAATGGCCACCAAAAGATGAAACGTTTCTAATTCTAGCGGATTCAGGTCTACCAACTAAGACCCCCACACGGTTTCTTCCTCTCTTGGAGACACCAAACTCAACAGCAACAATCTCCTTTTTCAATAAGAAGCCTAGACCAGAGGAAGTGTTGCCCTTTCTACCAAACAAGCTAAGATCTAAACCACTTGGAACCATTACAAAAGCCAGGAGGACACTACTACTAAGCTCTTTTGAGGACATCATGGAAAAGGAGAAGCTAGTGGAGAACGATCCTGAAAAGTTTCTACCTTTATTACCTTCTTGGAACAGTGTGATGGGTTTCTTGTAAAGGACACGCCCTTGGCTCTGACTCACTGAGTCAGTCAACTGAATCGATGAGCCACCGCCATTGACGACGACGAGCTTGGAGTCACGAAACAGAGCAATGTTCTTGTCAAAGGAAGGAGATTTCACAAACCCATTAAAGGAAAACGAGGAATCTGCATCGGCTAAGCTTATAAGGAGCAGAAAGGCTAAGGCTTTGAAAAACGCCATAGCGCTGAAACTGAAATGGAGTTTTGAGAAAAGGAGCTCTCTTTTTTCTTCGTGAATGAATAATTTCAGTTTTCAAGAGAGGCAATTTTTAATGTTTAATTAGAAGAGTGAGTGTGGTGAAGAAATGAAAAAAAAAAGGAAGCAGATGGGAGAAATTAAATACGAATTTAAAAGTCATCATCTTCTTCTTCTTCTAGGAGATGAACCTTTGATTCCCTCTCTCTATCAGTGGTTGCTGAGTAAGTGAAAAATTCAATTAATGCTCTCTCTCTTCTTATACCCACCCCCACTATTTTTATATCCTCTCTCCTTCGGCCCCCATGTTCTACATTGTGATATTTAGGCCCATTCTTATTTATATATAATTTATTTATTTACTATATGGTATAGTCTACTATTAAACAATACCTCTAAGTTAACCCATAAAACTATTTCAGATTGTGATATATATGCGCAATTCAGATATAAGGAGTTTTCTTAAGAATGTTCACATGATTTGTGTGTATGTTGCCCATTGATTAGGCCATCGTGTTATTAAGGTATAGGAAAATTATAATTGTCCACAAACAAAAGTGAAAATAGAAAATGTGGGGTTTGAGACAATAAAGGTAAAATTGTTGACAAACCAAAAGATAGAATCTAGAAAGGATCTCATAATCTCTAATATAATGGATTTAATTAGTGGACAACCCATTGATTATGTTACCGAGTTTCTTTATTTCAAAGTTCTATAAATTAATTAAAAAAATAAAACAAATAAAATGCCCATACCCAATTGCTGGTGAC